GGTGCCTTCAAATAGTAGGAGATGAGGACCCAAACTTATCTTCAAATAGTACGACGTAAGTACCTAAGAGTATCTTCGTTCATCAGCATGACCTGTACAACCTAGTTACCACTTCCCTCAAAGTACTACTTACCACTTACCTGGTAAGTGGTAAGTGGTATGACTTACCACTTACCAGGAAATAGTAAGTGATACCACTTACTGTTACCTTGGTAAGTGGAAGTGGAAGTAACAGTAAGTGCGACACCCCTAGTCCATGCCTAAGACTATTTAGTCCTCGAAAAATTTTGTTTTATCTTCAACAAAAAACAAAACAAATAGACAGAAATGTGCAGAATTTCATACTCTATCTTTCTATCTCATTGACAGTAAAATCTGGAAATGGTAGATTTATGATCAAATCCCGCAGTGTCCTTTTAATGTTACTGACCTGTTACACTGATCAGGGTATCTTCATCAATTTTCACGTAAATTGACTCATCGGTAGAATGATCAGTAGGCTCTCCAGCTCTTTTCTTTGATCGTAAATTATATCGTCGTGGTGTTTCCGGTGGTACAGGTGATGGTGATCGAGGTTTTTTACTATGAGACATGTTAAGATCAAGTGTCTAGAAGAAAAAAAGAATAAAATTAGGATATTTTATTAATGAACAAATCTGATGTTAGGAAGTGTCGGTTAACACACTCCTGGTTTACCTTTATTCCTTCCTACTAAAACAAAACAATAACTACTAAACTAAAAGAAAACAAACAGTCCGTGTTTTCCAAATACACGGAGGACAATGGACATACAGAAGAGATAGAGGAAAGAAAAGAAAAGAAGAGGTAGTGATGAGAGATAGCGCCACTACCTAACACCTGAGTTGATGATGAAATATCTTGTTGATTATCATCATCTGCATCAAGAATAACTTGTTTTTTCTTTTCTTGTTTTAATAATTTTTTTTCATTAAATCTTTGTTGTATAGAATCAAGTTCTTTATCAAAATCTTCATCAGTTTTTTCTTTTGCTTTTAAATTTTTTTTTTTTTTTCAATTGGTAATTCTTTATCACTTTGTTCATCATCTTCATCTAATTGAACTGTACTTTTACTGAATGTTAAATCATCTGCACTTTTTCTAGTTTCTTTTTCTTTAAATTTCATTGAAATTTTTCTTCTTTCTTCTTCATCTTCTTTAGTTTCAGTTTCAAATGAAAAAAGATCATAAGTTCTAATCAAAATAAGGAATTTATTATTTTTTTTGTGTTTCTTAATAAAAAATTACTTTATTGCTTTAGCAGAAAAAGTTGATTTTGATTTTTTTTGTTCTCTTCATCCTTATGAATAGTTTGTGGTTTAGGCCGAGATCGAGGTATCATATTATCAAATGGATTTAATATAATCTATATAATAAAATCTTTTAAAATCGATCATTTTTTTATTTGATTATCTAACCATTGTTTTAATTATTTTTTGTTTATGTATTGATGTTTCCAGGGGTGGCCCGAGGCAGCAAACATTGGGAGGTTGTCGAAACTTTTTGGGGGGTTGCTCCTGACTTTTGAGATGGAAGTATAATTTTGTTTTTCTAATAGAACGCAAGAAAAATTTTCCACTCCGCTGGGAAAAGACGAAAACTTTCGATTATTGGGGGGGGGGGGGGTTGTAACAACCCCCACAACCCCCCCTTCGGGCCAGTCCTGCCTATAACTTCTGAAGAAGTAACTCTCAAAGTCTGGCTTTTGCACAGTTTTATCGGTTTTCTACTAGCAGTTTGAGTTTACACCTGATCATAAAAAGTTCATTGTAGTTACCTTACGGAGTACGCTAGTTTTCAAAAATGTTGGTTCAAGTTCTTGAAAAAACTAGGTCAAATTATCTTATATTACACAGTTCGATGCATCTTCATCTCCTCTTTCGAACGGTGAACACAGCAACTCTCTATCTTGTTCCTATCAGAAGTTATTCGAAATTAAAGACTGCCGGGTTACTTTTGATCCACCCTATATATTAGAGCAAGTTTTTGTTCGAGTCAAAGTCAAAAAACCAATATTTTAAAAATTGTTGTTAATAGCTGGAGAGCAGTAGTATTTGGTTCCAAAGCGAGAGTTCATAGATTGTTCATGTTAGGTTCCGTTTTCTTTTTATTCTTTTAATGTTATGATAAGAATCTAAACTTCTCAACAAAGAAAACAAAAAATAAAATAATATGAAAAAATAAATAAATGGTTCGACCGTAAATCAACAAAACATATGTATATCTTCACTCGGTCTAGTAAACAACAGCAACTGTCCAGTGAAGAGAAAAAAAGAAGAAGAAGGAGAATTGTCCATCTATAATAGATGGCGATCCTAACAGTTCATAAAATATAAAAATGCTGACCACAAAATAAGCAGCACATCTAGAACCTATGAGAATAACTTTCGTGTTCATTAACAACATCCTTGCTCTGTTGATAGTCTGGACGCCATTCCGCTTCATTGTCTTCGAAAGAATCCAAATCGTGACCCTTCGACTCAGGCAATAGAAATATGGTGGCAAGAAGACCAACAAATTGAATAGCAGCAAAAATGCCGAGTGTTTGCGGCAGAAATGCATTTTTACCTCCATGATCAACTAGTACATTGAAAGCAAATGCTGCTAGAATAGCACCTGCCTTTCCGCATGCTGCTGAAAGACCGTGAGCTGTAGAGCGAAATCGTGTTGGAAATACTTCAGCCGGAATAATGAATGTTGTCGCGTTGGCACCGAACTGAAAGAAAAATTGAATGAGGACAAACATGACAACAAATGCTGCTGTAGATCGATCTTTCAGCTGATGATATGCTGCAGCAACGATGATAAATAGAATAGTTTCCATAGTGAAACCAATTATTTGAATAGTCTTACGACCAAGATATTCGACAGTGAATACAGTAACATAATAGCCAGGGATAGCACCGAGAAGCGAAATAATCAAATTGCCAAGTGCTTGTTTATATAGAGTTTCCCAAGGCGATGTTTTAGTTGTATCTGGGGCGAAGCCGATAGCTGATATTACAATCGATTGATTGAGTGAAAGGCCATAGAATGCAATATCGAGTAAGAACCAAGTTGAACATGTGCCAATGAGAACTTTCAAGTTACGCCACCGTGAAAAGTAAATTCGAAAATCTCGAAAATGATGCCGATCTTCGACGACTTTTGTCGTTTCAACCATAGATTCGCGTGAAATCAAATTTGCAGAACTTTGTGGACGTACTCCTAGTGCGTATGCTTTACTTATTTCAGTCATTTCAGAATCCTTGAGAACTCGTTCGGCGTAGCGAGGTGACTCCGGTAGATGAAAACGTGCATAGAGAGTGCATACAGCAGGCACAACTCCAAGAGCAAGCAGAATCCGCCAGACATAGTCGATATTGATTTGATTAGCTTCGATAGGCTTCTTGAAAATAGCCAACAATATAACAGCAAATAATGCACCGAAAAATTGACCCCAACCTTGCATAGAAAAAGTTAATGCAAGCATTTGTCCACGTCGTCCTGCGTTTGACCATTCACTGGACACAGTAGCTGACATAGGATAGTCACCACCAATCCCAATACCTAGTAAAAGACGCCAAAATCCAAGAAAACCCAAGGTACCGACACCTGTTGCCGCCGATCCTGCCATAGCTGAACCAATTGTACCCACAATGATAATTAGAAGTTCAATACCGTAAACACTTTTACGGCCTTTACTATCACTCAAAAAACCAAATAGTAACTGACCAATAAGATTACCCACATTTGTAATACCCTTGACAATACCTTGGATATTCGATGGCACTTTATTACCTTTATCCATGTAGTAGACATAACCGAGCATGGGAACAACCAAATTGATTACAAAAATATCATAAGCATCCATAAAGAAGCCTGTTGAAGAAACAAGAACTGTACGAATCTGTCGTCCAGTAATCTTGTTTCTAGATTGGTCATGTTGTATAGTATTATTTTCTGTGGTCGGTCCTTCCACTGGCTCCATCGGAGTAGAAATATCATTGTTAATCATACAGTACACGTTTTATTTACTCACTTAGCAAAATCTAAATATTGAAATAATATTAATACGAAACTAGATACAGCTCTTTATAATACTACATGACACAAAAATTATTCAGAAAGAATGAGTGCAAATGAATAAACAATATCGTTAAAACACTGTGAAATGCGAAATTAGTATGTTTCATTATTAGTATCGTTTTTCATTCATGGGCGTTCTCTCTCTCAATGTGTCAATGATGAATCGATATAACTTTTTGCAGTGTGAATGAGTTACTTTTTTCTCTTTCTGTAGTTATTTTTTTTCTCTATCATACGTTAATGTATATGTATATATTAGTGATGATAACGTCATTGTACATAGGTAGGAGAGAAAAAACCGGATACTTGCTTGTCAACTGCGCACATGATACAGTGATAAGATGTGTTATAGAGTAAATCATCAAGAAGTAAAGAAAAAATTATATTGCTTTGAGTGAATCATGTAGAATAAATGTTGATATTATTAGCTTGAATAGCAAAGTTAATTTTAGAAGAAAACAAGATCAATCAAAAGCTTTTTTTGCCTTTAACGTCACCTAAACTTTTCTTAATTTCTTGACCTATTGGAAGAGTTAAGATTTTCAACAAATTTGCTCTCAACAACTCAGCACGAGTTCTTCTGTTGTGACTTCAAATAATTGTTTCTATCAAAGACTCTCCTTGTACCGACGTACAGGAAAATGACTGGAATCTACTATGCAAATCTCGTTTCAAATAATCGTAATTTGATTACAATACATCAAGCAATTAGCTACAAGAAAAAAACATTCAGTGTCATGTTTGTGACTAGAGATGAGATCGGTTCGTGACATTTTTGAAATTGAGTCGAGTCGAATCGAATTGTATCTAGTTAAAAACCCTCATCACTGACTATTATATTCTTAAGATAATAGTCTTAAACTGCTTCAACAAAGGAATTGTTTTTGTACATATTGACATTACGAATAAATCAGATTGCAGCAGCTATATGTACTCTGCTTTTGAGATAGTAGTTTAAATTACGATTTCAAAATTTAGCTTTAAGCTTGTATTAGCTTGTATCATACGAGGTTCTCTTAGTTTATTTAATCTGTTCGAAAATGGTCCTTAAATCGTTATAAATACATATCTATACATTGCTATAAGAGAGAGATAGAAGAAAAGAAAGAAGAAACAATAGTAACAATAAAGACGACAAAAGAGGAACGAGAAAGAGAGAGATCAGAGGCATAATGAGGGTGAATCACTGCTAATATTCCTCTTCTCCCATATTAAATGTATGTCTCTTAGACATCAATGTTGAGTTTATCAATTTGTTCCATAAGTTGAATATGTTCGTAAATAATAGATTTCACAGCAGCTAGAATCATCATTTTTTATTATATGTAATTAATCAGAAAAAAAAAGATAATTATAATAAACCAAAAAAAAAAAATATTAACATTAGTAATCACTCGAGCTTTCGACGATTTTATTCGTCATTATCTAGAGACTTGTAAAACAGAATAAAATAGAAACAAGGAAAGAGAGAATATGTGATCATATATATATATCATTTGCACTTAAACATGATTTTGATGATGAATCAATGATGACATATTCTTCACCATAGATTAGTTTCTTTCTTTTTTTCTTTTGTTTATATTAACAAAAATTAATTGTATTTTTGCCAATATTCAAAATTCATGTATTATATTCAGAATTCAGAATCTTTTGTTCATTTTATATGAGGATTTTGTTGATGTTATATTCAAAAGACCAAAAAAGATATTTACAATGTTTAATTATCGACAAAAGATAATTTTACGGAAAGAAACAATTAACAGTTGAATAAATTAATTATTTTATCGCTCATTCTATTCCCTATTCGCAATAATCAGCTTGTGGAAAAAAGTTTCGAATAGTGTCTATGGATTGATGAGATGATTTGGATGTTAGTATTCTTGCAACTTTCGAACAATTGTGTCTTGCGTGTTGTCGATTTTGAGAAATTATTTTCAGCAATATATCCTTGTTAATAGCAAGTTCAATTAGAGAAGGAAGATGAATTTGACAAAGAAATTCTTCAGCATAATCGATATGAATATCATATAAAATAAGTACAGCTAAATGAGGAAAATCAATATTAGTTTTCTGTGTTGTTGGTTTTTCTTGTTGTTCGAGTTGGTTGATTATCTCAAGCGTTCGAAGTCGAGGTAGAGCTCGAGCCGCACGTTCAAAGAAAATACTTTCAAATGGTTTAACATCATCAAAAAGTAATAAAATAGTAACATTTGAAAATGTATTTTTAATATCAAATAATGGAAATCGATTTGAAATAAAATCAAGACGACTACCAATAAATGGAAGTGAATAAATTTGACATTGACCGTATTTATTTTTAAAATGATCGAGTACACAATCAAATGATTGTTTATGTTTAAGAAAACTTTGACGAATTTGATTAATTGTTATATGAAAAGTATTTTTTAATATTGAACGAATATGATAATTAAATTGACATAAACGAGGCATGTATTGAAGAATTTTTTTTTCTAATATAGATCCATCAATAAAATGTGAAGGTCTAATACCATCTTGATCTATAGCTAATAATAATATTAAATATTCAACATTTGACAAACGCTGTAAAACAGAAGTACATTGTTCATAGTTGTTAAAATTACGATACATTATCATTGTCATTTTCTTTAAATTAGGACATGAAATCTAAATGCGAAATTCATTTAAATATCAAGTCAAGAAATCTTACTTACTGATCTGACTTTAGAGATAAAATCAGGTTTTTTATCATAAACCTTTCCTATAGTCACTGTAAATGAATGAAGTTGTGAGCCCATGTGAACTAGTAAATGGACGCATTGATGGAATCCCCACAAAGATATACAAAGATGAGTTACTTGTTTAAGTTGATCGAAATATGGTTGATTATTGGCAAATATTTCGTATGAAACAAGGTTCTCATCAAGTTCAACCGACTGAGCAGCATGCATAAATGGTAAACGACAAAAGGTAATTATCTTTTCACCAATCATTTTGTGGGGTGATAAAATGAATTGCGGTACAGTTGTGAAGAGAGGTGTTCGCATATCAGGGTAAAACATCAGAGAATTTCCTAAAAAAAAATATCTATATATACATATATTTACAAGTGATATAAGATGATGTTTGTTCAAATAATTATTTTCAATAATATAGTGATTCTTTTAACAAAAATAAGATATGAATTTCTTTTACTTAAAATATTAAGTTTTTGAAATTGTCAAATGATGTTTTCCTACTTTTCTCATTGGGAAATGAGACTAATATGATAAATAAAAACAATTTAGACAAAAATTCGATCAATCATAATTTACCTATTGTAATAGGCATGCTCGTTTTACCATGTCTAGCACCAACCAAAATTTTTACATGCATCAGATTTGGAAGAGTTGCATTACAGTTATTCTTCATAAAACGTTTAATAGACGAAATATGATAACAATTGATTGTTAATGATTTAATGTTATAAATAACACGAGGCAGAACATTTGAATAAAATTGTTCCATAAGTAATTTATATGGTGCTCGAGAATAATCAAAAGTCAAATCAATTGCATAACATGTATCAAATGCAAGTTGTTCGAAGCGTTTATTACTAATATTAATTGCGGAACAAAGTAATAATACTTGAGGATTCACTTTTTTCATAATAAATAATATTAATTCATCAGGTAAATCGAGCAGTTCAACAATATCTTTCATCTAGAAAATCATTAAATTAATTATATCATAAAATCAATACTTACTCATATTTGATAAATACAATATTATTGATATTTTTTTGTTCAACGATGTTGAAATTGATATATGTATGTACATATATATATATATATATATATAAACAGTCATGCTTAATGAGCATTGTCTGTGTGGAACCAATCATTAATAATCAAATATAATAACAAAGAAAAGGCGCTTTATACGTACAAAAATATGAAGAAACCAATTAGATGAAAGTATTTTGACCATCAAGTGTAATTTGTTGAGTTAAAACGTATCTAACATTAGAAATGATAGGTAATAACACTTGACTGATGAAATTTAAAAAATCATAGGTGAGAGATCATTGTTTTATTGTGTTTGAAAAAATCCTTCCAAATTATAAGAAAAGGTCCCAATTATAAAGCTTAACACGACTCTCATTGACGTTTCTCTTATTAATAAAATCTTTAAACATTCCTCTATCGTAGACGAAAAAAAAACAGCTCATTTGGTTGAAACAGAGCGGAGATATTCAATCTTTCTTACCGTGAGTCATCGGTGGCTCACATCATGGCGATTGGGTTAATGGTCAATTCGTGAATCAATTTTTTTAATGAAAAAAAAGATAGACTAAGGAATTTAATCATGATAAAAATAATTAATATATATATATTTAATAAAGGATTGGTCAACAATATTCTCCTCAAACAGCATCAACAATGAGTCAATTAAGTGAAAAATTTCTTTCATTTCATTTAATTGAAGTAAAAAAAAAACGTATAAAAATAAAATAAAACAAATACTTTAAAGACATTAATAACATATATCTGCAGTGTTGGGTGTTGATGGAGCTATTTTAGTATTTTTACCTGGTTGGATCGTGTATTGGAACATGTTCCATCAAGTGTTAAAAAAATAATTCTTTCAACAAATATAGCTGAATCAAGTGTAATAACAATAGATGATGTTGTTTATATTATTGATAGTTGTAAAGTTAAACAAAAATTATTTTTATCACATAATAATATGACAAATTATGTTACTATTTGGGCATCAAAAATAAATTTAACACAAAGACGTAGTCGGGCAGGAAGAACAAGAACTGGTTGTTGCTTTTATTTACGTCCTAAAACACGTTATGAACATTTAGATAGTTATTTATTACCAGAAATATTTCGTACACTACTACATGAACTTGCATTAGCTATTAAATTATTAAAATTAGGTGATATTAAAGCTTTTTTTATCTAAAGCTATTGAACAACCACCCATGGATGCTGTTATTGAAGCGGAATTTACACTTAAATGTAAATCATTTTTTTATTTTATTTAAAAATAAATAAATAAATATAGATTTATAAATATAGAAATGCAAACACTTGATGAAAATGATGAATTAACAGCATTGGGGAAAAATTTTAGCACGAATATCAATTGAACCAAAAATTGGTAAAATGATTATATATTAGGATGTATTTTTTGGTAAGTTAATAAATTAATTTCATCCATATACAACAACCATTTGTAATTAATGTTCGATAAGAATTAAATTTTTCTTCATTATTGAATGCTTTCTGAGTGATCCATGGTTAATTGACTGAAATCAGGATCTCAGGAAAATACTTGTATCTCTTAAACCGAACAAGCAAGAAAGATGGATCATGCGTAGATCGCAAGAGAACAATTTTTCTACCAGAAATGTAAATTAACAATGGAGCCAAGTTGCGAAAGGGGTTCAAAGTATCGTGCTCAACATGTCCCTCGAAAATGCATCCAATTGGTCCATTGCTGATCGCTCATATTTTAGCGTATGTTGATGCGTCTGGATTTTCTCTTTCTAATGGTGAAAGCCACAACTTACTACCTTGCTCCTATCAAAAGTTATTCGAAAAATACCCACCCGTCTTTTTTTTTTGAAATGGGCAATAGTTATATTCTACGCGTATTTTGGTAAAATCATTGTTTTTGTACTATCCTCGAAGCGTATATTGATATGTTAACATGTGAACAGATTCTAGATGAATATTGACTAACATCCTCTTTCAAATATTCTGAGTTATTGATAACTTTGAATGACTTTCGCGATATAAATGATCTAAATGACTTTAAGTCATAAAAGTCAGTTATTTCCCCCTTGGCCTCATGTCCTTGCAATATTGTAGCCCTCACTGATTACTAGTGACTCTAGAAAAATCAATCTGGATCTGAATCGCATAGCAGAGAACGGAGGTCCACAAGTTTACCTCTGTCGAGCTTTTTCATGGATTGTTGGCATCGTGTACTTCAAAGTGATACCAAGGCAGGTTTTTTGTTGGCCTCATGTCCTTGAAATATTGTAGTCCTCACTGATTACTAGTGGCTCTAGAAAAATAACTCTAGGTCTGAATCGCATAGCGGAGAATGGAGGTCCACAAGGTTACCTCTATAGGGTATTCATATGTACATTTAGGGTCTAGGATTTTGTTGTGTTGAAGTAAAGGAAAAGTTCAACAGATCAAGCTGAAATTTTCAGTGATGATTTCTAGCATATAGCTAAGTATTTTCTGAAATTTTGAGGTAAATCTAACTTCATTTTCTAATTAGACCGAAATGCACCTAAAATGTTTTCCGTCGTTTTTTATATGAGTAACATACGTGTGGAATTAATGACTGTTTACCAAGGCTCGATGTAAAAGAATTTTACCTAATTCAAAATACATCATTCGATACAGTTTTTAATGCTGATTCTGAATCGGATGTTAATTATAAACTATAAGAGTAAGTGGTTAAACATTAGAAAGCCTATACTACGCAAAATATGAAAAAAGCAACATCTTTTTGTTTTTCGTCCTATTTGCATAACAAATGCTTCTCCCATAAAAAGTTATTTATATAGGTCGATAGAGCAGAAGCTCCTCTATCGAACTGTATATTAGACTTTTTGCCGGAATTCCATTTTTGAACCAAATACTAGGCAAACATTTTCGCATGTTTTAGGTATTCAGTGGTAAGGAACAGCTATTAAAACTCCAGTAAAAATAATTGAAAGTTAACCTGGAAAGTAGAAGATCTTGAAGAACTTTTGTTGCTCTACACGAATCTGAAGTTGAAATTTTGATTAGAAAAAATATGTCGATTCATATTCGCGGAAACAATGAAAACGATTACATTTGAATTTGAACAAAATTTCAGAAATGCGTATTTTCGTATTTTGCAAATTTCTCTCTTATTGTGTGGTCAATGCTAGACTTTTTGGTTACCAAAATGATCAGCGTAAAAAGTTCTATTGAATGATGCTATTTGAAGACCAATCGGAGGTACTTCATGTAACGGTGGTAGGAACCCCACGGAATTACCCATTTATTAAAAATAGTTATTGTACATGAGTCGAGAAACTAAAAATAGAAATGTTTTGAGACAATGTCGTAATGTGCCATTTGAAGAAAAAGAACAATAGACGATGGCAGGTAAAAAGTCTCAATCAATTTCTTTTTTCTGAAACCCGTGAGTAACAAAAAATACGTCTTTTTATTAATATCTGATCCCGAATATTGATGTTCATGACATTAAGGAATTTGGATTATTAATGAGAAAAATTCGAATAAGTGAAATTTGAACTTCTGTGATTTTTTAATAGTTTATCCTATAGAATTACTAAATGTTCTCGTGAATTACCAATCGACTTAAGATTTTCACTATCAAACTAATATGAGTGATTTGCCTCAGTCCTATTTACTTCATAATCAAATCACAAGTCTACTGGAAGAGTGTCAACAAAACAAAATGCACGAACATAAAACAGAATTTATTCGTATTACTTCGATAGAGGCGTCACAATCAATGTAAAGTTGTTTTTGCCCTTTCAAAACTACTAGAAAACTTTCTTTTTTATGCTGTTAAATTACTAATCCAATAACTGTTCTGTGTTGAAAACTGTAGCACAATGAATGACTCGCGACAACATTGCCTGCAGGCAATCATTTCAGTGGAAGTTTAAATAACATGATCATATACAGGACAACATGCAGAACATTGAGAAATCGATATAGAAAAAAGTGCTATTTTATCACCGTGTAAAATGATAGAACAAAGCTACTCAACAAATGTTGTAAAGTTATTTTTGTAATCATCTATGAAAAAAAGTTGTAAATTATGTGACGTTGCTGTTTGGTATTTCAACGTGATTCAGTGTTTGATTTTTTTTATCCCTGAATATTTGTCTCTTGCATATGCTACTCTTATCGACGGTACGCGGAGTAGGAAAAAAACACACTAGGAAGGGGAGAAAGAAAGAAAAAAGGTAAAAATCAATTATGTATTGGCGATAACAGCAAAAAGAAGAGTCAGACGGCAAAAAAATTCATAACACGTGTAAAAAAATATAATCAACAAAACGATAAGCGATGTGTTTGCATTTTTCTTCATTTGGTTTTGTTTACCGATAGTAGTAAGTAATAAATGACGATAATTGAATAGGAAAGAAGTACTCAATATGTGATGCATAGAGGGACAAATTGGCCTCAAACATGAGCGGTATGGAATGAGTAAACTTTGTCGATAAGGGTTGCAATCATATCGAAACGAATGCACAACAGCCATTTTGTCTTGCTAATGATAAGCAATATATTTTCTTCATTACTCAGAGAATACTTTATCTCCTTCTCTGCATTATTTGCACTGCTGACTGTTTTCATGAAGAAGAGGAAAAATGATTAGTTTCACTATGAATTCATTACTAATAGCTGTTTGATCAGCAGCTCTGATCGTATACATTGACTCGAGAGGGGAAGTTGACTGAGTATTTTTTTAAGTAGGTGTTAGCGTCACCAGAATGTTGAGTTTTCGAACTGAAAGCTTCTATCTGATACGACCTTTACTTCGACAAAACCAAGAGCAATGGCAGAGAGCATATCCCAAGAGTCTCATTCTGATTTTGCAACAGTTCAAGTAATATTGATGTGAGAAATATTAGGAATTGCAAATTTTGTAATACATAATAATGTAACGAATAATCCTTAGTTGAATTGTCTGAAGACAACGATTAATCAGGAATGACATCAGACTATACATTCGAGTAAAGCTTTTTAAAATTCATCAATTTGTATGAGTTTGGAGTGCAGATAAAACTAACGAATACATACTATTCAAGCGAGATCAATATTTCCGTTCGTGTTGGTCCCATGGTTTACAGCTCATTAATAGTGTTCCCAAAAGACTAGAGATTTGCTCTCATGTAAGCTTATTTCTGCTATTTTCTTACACTGAAGTGGTTCGATTATCTTCTGATGTTGAATGGTATTTGTTTCGAAAACTTCATCTCTTCATTTATTTGCAGAGAAACAAATGGAACCTATAACGCCTTCCACACCAGACAATAAAGGTAAGTGTTATTGATGTTCTATATGCTATTAGAAAAGTATCCTTGAATTTGATATTTTGAATTGAAAGATTTCATTCAATAAGTTTTGTTACTTAATCAAAATACATATGCTTTTCTTACATTAGACAAGCCTTGGCTCAAGTGCCAGTTTCATGATGCCGATCAAACATCCATTAAGAAACCAGATGAATTTGAAATCAGTCCGGAAGATTTCGCTCCGTTGGAAAAAAATAGCCGTGATATAGTGGATCGTATCCAAGGTTCAATGTTTGGTTTGACTGTGGGTGATGCTGTTGGTGCTCGTGTTGAATTCAGACCTAACCGTTATTTAGTTGATAATCCAGTGACAGATCTAATAGGAGGAGGAACATGGGGTCTACAAAGGGGACAGGTAAGAAAGCCAATTGTCGAAGCTGTATAGGAGTTCATTTTTGTAGTTCACTGACGACACCTCTATGGCCCTTTGTTTGGCCAATTCACTAATTGCCTGTCGAGACTTTGTTCCCTACGATCAATTAGTTCGCTACAAGTGGTGGTATCGATATGGCTACATGTCATCAACTGGTCATTGTTTTGACATTGGTGCAGCCACTCGACAATCTATCCAAGAATTCGAAAAGCGTCAAAGGAAGTTTGCACATGATCATGACATTCTATTAGATCAAATGGACTTTCTATCTGATCGTGAGCTTCTTCAAGCATTCGACGTGCATTGTAGCAAAGAGGGTGTGGCTGGTAATGGAGCCCTGATGCGTCTCGCACCCGTACCCCTTTTCTTCTTTCGTCTTCCGAAAGTTGCCGTTGACTATTCTGGGATTAGCGGCCAAATCACTCATGGAGATGAGAAAGCTTATGATGCATGTCGCTATTACGGAGCGCTAATTGTGGCTGCTCTTCAAGGTGAAGATAAAAATAAACTGACTAGTAATACATTTTACGATGATCATTGGGAGTGGTTTGGTGATAAGCCCCTTCATTCTGAAATCATGGCAATTGCTCAAGGATCTTACAAAAAAGAAGGTGGATATCAAGATGGAATTCGAGGGAAAGGATACATTGTTAATGCTTTGGAAGCTGCTTTATGGGCCTTTTGGAGTGATGAGGACTCATTTGAGAGAGGTGTACTCAAAGCTGTTAATCTGGGCGATGATACAGACACAACAGCAGCTATTTATGGCCAGTTGGCAGGTGCTTATTATGGCTACAAGAAGCTGCCAGAAAAATGGCTGGACTGCATCTATGCCAAAGAATTCATTTTATGTGTGAGCAGCTGGATTGCCTTCGAAGGAGAAAAATGGTTTATAAATCAGACAATTCCAGGCACGAGAGAACTAATAAATTCTACTCATCGCAATTCGCTCATTTTGAAATCGATTATCTCGAACGCTTCCAAGGTAGAATTGCAGCTAAACCGAAGGACCTCACTAATTAAGGACAATACATCGAATATCCTTGTGCGCAAGGCAGTCAATCCTGAGGGCCGTATAGGATGCTGTTATGATGGATGGCGGGATCGTATTTTACAATCTCCAAGTATCAATCTGAATATAAGTCCAGATTATGTGTATCCATCAATAAAATGTGAGATAAAAAGTGGTAATAAGCTTGAAAATCGAAATCTTCTGAGATTCATTGATTTTCCTGCTGATCTTCGATTGAGTGTGTTATCGAACTTGGTTGTACCGACAGGTATTGCTTCAGTTGTCGATTATCCATTTGTAATTGACGAATATACTCGCATCTTCTTTTATTCATACCTTGTTCGAAATCAAGCATTATTTGACGTGAACAGCATTCTGTCACAAATATGTACAGCTCCTGCCACTCATGTGATCACTGCAATAGATTGGGGCATCGATGTTGTTGTTCTACTAAGATTGCCACCTGATGAAATGAAAATGATCGATGCCAGTCTCTATACAATATGTAACTGCATGAAACATAACATGGAACTAATTAATAATGAGCATGCACTTAGTCGAATCATTTCTACACATACCTATTCGAACTTGCCTCATTTAGGTAATCAGCTAACATTCTTTAACGTGTGCCAAGAAATTCTCAAAATCAAGAATACACCTGCTGATCAACAACCTTGCAACTACATTCTTCAGCCAATCAGCATTTTTTATTCTGATGAAAATGAACAGAACACCGCATTTATTCCAATCGAATCGAGTATTACAACAAGGATTGAAGACCATTGGCTTCGATTATCCTGTATCAGTAAAATATGGCAAACATTTCTAAAATATACAACGTCCGATGTTTGGCAAACGGATCTTAAGCAACAATTCGACGAGGTTCATGAAAAAGTCTTAAAATTAACAGAGCAATATGATGAGGAAAAGGAACAAGGTCAACATTTGATTTTATGTATTCGTCAAGGTAAACAGCCACCAGAAGCTATCGAACGTTACTTACGGATCGAAGAAGAAGAAACGAAGTTGAAGCGCACCATCGACAATTTGAAGCATGATCTGAGAAGTCTGGAAGAAAAACAGGATTTTATCAAAGATTTGAAAAAGCAAGGATTTGATTATTGGAATGCTGACAGATGTGGTATTAAACAAGGCGACAATGAAGATGAGGTCCATCGAAAGCTAATTAAAGATAACAGGCGACAACGGTTTCTGTGCTCCAACGACAGTTTAAACGCAGGACATTGGTCACAATTGCAAGATATATTGACCCGAATGACTAATGAACGTGTAGAAAACTCTGAGTTGGATCTAGTTTATGTCGATTTCTCTTACTGTTCATACGAGCTAGACATTATAAAGACGTTTCCCACAACGAACCATATTCAAAATACTGATGTGCGTGATTCTTTGACACGAACAACGAAAAAACTCGACTCTCCCCTAGTTGTGCTTTCCACTGATAAGATGATCAATATTGTTCTGGTAGGCAAATTAGGGGTCGGCAAATCGACGCTAATCAACACCATTGCTAACTGTCTACATTTCAGAACATTTTCCGAAGCTCAATCCAGTAAATCTGTCATACGTGTGTTGGTATCATCTATAATATCGCTAATAATGGATGTGGAAACGCATTTCATTCAGCTTGGTAATCGCGATCCCAACGAAAATCAAAACCATACTGGTCAATCCACAACTCAACGTTGCAAATCACACATATTCGATGTTGGAAATGGACAACAATTATGTATCATTGATACTCCTGGCTTTTCTGATGCACGCGGTCAGGCTCATGATGAAATAACGATGCAGCACATACTATCATACATCTCGAATCTAACACATTTGAATGCCATTTGTGTTCTGATGGAGTCGGGTGACTCTGAACTCACTATCTATTGGAAGCTTTTGATGCAGTTACTCAACTTCCTTGGACCAGAAGCGCATGATAAATTTGTCTTTTGTTTCACCAAATCTCTATCCATCCTGAACGATGACAATAAAAGAAAGGCTCGACTTCAATCACTGCTCCAATCACTTCCGCTTGACACAATTCATTGGAATTATGAACGCATACTTGTATTTGATAGTACTTACTTTCTTCATTTGGCTCAGGCACCTTGGATTGATCCTCAAGAGCCGCAATGTGAGCAGAGTTGGTCAATTTCAAAGAAAGCAGTAGAGCAACTTATGCATTATGTTCGTCAATGTGATCGTCCATATCTGATATATCAAGGATTACAACGAGTAGAATATGCACGAATTGAAATCCTGCAGATGATTCGTCCAATAATGGAATCTATACGAAATATTCTTCGAAACTATCTTTTATACAAGTGCGGATCTTCATGTAAATTTATCGAGCTCCGTCCAAAACCTATTCAACGGCCTTCAGCTATATGCTACTTGTGCCAGCGTTCAATTCGGCAATACAATAGTTTTTGGATCACCTGTGACACTTTGCACGAATATCGAAATCGCTGTGAACATTGTTTATGTGATCCAGGACAACACGTTCAGATCGATTATCAACTTAATTATGAGTCAGTCGATAGAGTGAACTATCAACTACATGACTTAGCTGCTTGGTATCAAGAACTTCTTCCTGTAATCCCGCACTTTGCTCATTTTCTCATGCATATTGTTCAACATTCGCGCGATGATTTATTCTTGGCCAATCTCAAGCGAATGATTGATGAGGAGAATTACATTTGTGACAATAAACGTTACCGCGATTTCAATTCGCAGTTACTTAAGAAACTTCTACATCTCAAGGCTGACTATGAACAAAGAATAAGAAACATACTACAGAGACGTGAAGACAACAAGTTGATGATTATTAACTATTACATCGAACTTGTCAAAAATATTCCCATGGTAGCAAAACAACTGAATGTCGCTAAAGGAATAAAAGACACTTCTGTATAGATGTGTCGATACTAGACACTACTAACATAAGCTATTAAGTTACCGACAGCGTCCAATTAAGATTTTCACACTTATCCTAATAAAATAATTCTTCACATCTTCCATTAATACGAATCATCATATGCCTAACCAACATTTTATTACAGTGTCTTGATGAATAATGCGAAAGGGCAGGCACTAAATGCTGCATAATCTTTCCACTTGGTTCCATGAAATGATAAGCCCGAATCTCTTTCTATTAGAATTGGTAATGTCTTGACTTTAGAAATCATCTGGAACAAATTATATCAGCCTGAGAACTTGATAGAAGAAGCTAAAACAAACTGAATTCTTCTACAGAAAACGTTTCGTACAAAGGCACCTGATACAAAAGCAATACAAGAGAGAAAGATCTACCAATGTATTTCTGATGAAGCAGAGATTCTTCACGATTTTAGTAGAAAAGTCAAAATCTTGACTTCACGATTCTGCTTGTGAAAAAGATCTCAAGAGAGTGACAATGCGCAAACTGCTATGACACTTTTTCATTTTTCTTCTGACAAAATGAGAATGTGAGATGTGGGTGAATGAAAAATGAATTCACCTACATTTATACCCGCATTTTTCTACGTATTATATCACTTAGGTCATCCAAACTAATGGATACTCTGAATGAAATCAAACACAAGGTTGCGAAGCTTTCTTTCGATCACTGTTTCTCTTCCAGAGGGAAACATTAAAGAGAGCTATGCACTGGTTTTTCTTCCTACGGTTGCCAACGATGCTGATGGATTTATTTCTATTGTTTCAAGAACAAGAAAGGCACTCAATGATCACTTGTTTCACTCATTTTTATTTCTTACACTTGTAACCGAAAAGTGAATGTATGTCGTAAATTTCTTTCCTATCTTGCGTGCAAATATGAGGTCTGGTGTTTCTTCTTTCTCTTCTTCTTAACGACAGCAACAACAACGAATTAAATGGCTGTGGAAATCGAATAGTGACTCTTTTTCTTCTTCTTCTACAAAAGTGGTTCAGTGGAGCTCCTTCTCCGATGCAAAAAAAGTGATAATCGAAGAAGCCTTTCAAAAGAAGGTGATTGAAGCACTCTTCAACCATTATCACAGCAATTTCAAACATCTTGTTCAAATATCGAACACTAATCTCAACTCCCAATGACCAGTGAGAGAGAGAAGAGGGAGCGAGATTGAGAGAAGAAAGACTCATGCCAAATACTATTTCACCATCTTGACTTTTCGTAAAGCCAGAAGAAATCTTTACCTCCTCTATTGATGCTAGCCTTCTTTTGCAAATAACTTTTAATAGAAATAAGATGAAGAGCTGCGGCTTTGATCGTTCAAAAGAGGATATATCACTACATGGCTTTATATATGACTCAACAATGTCAGTTGATGATCGAACTGTCAGCCAGTGGGCTTCTGAAAAACACTAATTGCGTGCTCACAATCCACACACTGTCTAGTGTTGTACTTATAATTCTTAAATCGATCACGATAAAAACTTCGTGGTTGGATGTGCATTGTGAACACGTTATTAGTGTTTTTCAGAAGCCCACTCACTGACAGTTCAGTCATCAACCGACATTGTTGAGTCATACATGAAACCATGTAGTGATACAATCTTTTTAGAACGATTAAAGCCGCAGATCTTTATCTTATTCCTATTAAAAGTTATTTGCAAGCAAAGACTGTCGGATAACTTTTGGACCATCCTGTACTTTCTGAAATAGCTATGTTATAACTCTTCTAATGAGTGGTGTTACATTTTTCTGAACCTGAGTTATGTGAAAAAAAAAAGTCATTCATCAATTCGATTAGAATGGATTTTGACGAAAAGAAAAGTATTGAAGTCATGCTAAATCCATGTTACAGCAAAGGTTTTTATTCACAAAAGCATCACTTTTCTCTTCAATATTTCAAAAGAAAGGCATCTTCGAATTGGTTCTTTTCGATTATGAAAAAAAAACTGACTGCACTGGTTGTGCTTCTGGCCATAATTATTTCAATCTATTATAACTCAACTAATCCTGAACGTCTTCGACTGTGATTTCTTCACTCTTTATTATCAATCAAGCATACACTGGTGCATGATTCAAATCAACCAATGTTAAGTGTCGAGTATCGCGCTTTCGAAAGTATGCTTCGAAGAAGACCTCTTTTTCAAATTGATACCAATCTCAATTCTTTCAAACTATCAAAAAAAGATACAGTTGATACACAGTGGATTCACTATAACAGAGCCAAGGTGAAATTGGGTGCTGATAGAATCATACTTTAACTTCATGGTATGGTTTCCATAGCGGGAAATATACAAAGTAGAAATGCACGTCTTAGCTATATTCTGATGAGAAAAAAAGCCAACTATTCGGCGAAATAGTCTTTGTAATTGAGATCGTAAAAGCGCAAGTTGATTTGTCTGTGAAATATCAAAATGTCGCCACAAAATGCAATAATTATTACACTATTTCTATTACTACTGAGTATGACTGAGATTGTCACTATCGATGAAAGTGAACACATTCTAATAGAGTCCTAGAACTAGATCAGAATGCTCTACAATCTAAACGAAGACCGGTTTCTGACTCGTTGATTGAGTTCATTTACCACAGTATATAGATCTTCTGAGCGATTGAACTCAATCGAGAATATTTTGTGCTTTTTGTTGTGAAAAACGCCCTTATGTTCTTTTATAGCTTATAGTGGTTTCGAATGTCATTTATCTCGACTTTCCAACGTCACTGTAATGCATTTGGAGTATCGTCTCGTTCCTGAACATCCATTGCCAGCAGTGGTTGATAATGCACTCATATTATATCGTGCACTTCGTGATGGCATTCTTGTTTCTCATCTGACTATCATGGAAGATTCAGCTGGCGGCAGTCTTACTCTATTGACAATTCCAGTTCTTCTCGCTCGTCAGCTACTAATGCTTCGTGCCATAATTACACTTTCGTCATAGGCAGATTTCTCAGTGCTGGTGAAAGCTATACCCGTAACCGTTTTACTGACATGATGATTCGAACCGAGAGTATTGCATGGGGTGTACAAAATGTATTGAGTCCGAATCATACCCAAATAGTTCGAGATAATGCATTACATAGTCCACTCTATGGTTCATTCAAAGAATTTTCACCATTTTATACCGCAGTTGGTACGGCAGAGCTCTTGGAGGACGATTCCACACGGGTAATCGATAAAGTATGTGCAGAGAAGGAGTTGATGTAACACGAGAAGTTGGCCAAAATTTAATGCATATTCATCTTCTTTTCTTTCCCTTTTTCCATAAAGCAAGTGATACACTTGGCAATATTTGACGGTGGCTCAAATCGAAATTCCAATGATCAGTGAGGTATCGTTATGAACACTTTATCTCACTAGGGGTTATCTACCTTCTTTATCACTTAACTGCCTAATTGTTGAAAGTACTGACTATTATTAATCCTTTAGAATAAAATTTAGATTATTTCTTGTCAAATAAATATCTTAAATTCGCTACTTCGCATTTCATTATGTGTCTTTGCAATTGATTAGCTCACGTCGACTAAAGATAATAACATAAACAATGGACTAGAAAGTGTGGTTATGGGTTAACAATAGTATTAGAACCCAAGTTATTTCAACTGAAACTCATTTGCATCCAGATAGTAATATTGTCTTCTTATTGTTCTCCGCGGTAGTTAATTTTTTTCTTACCGAAAGGATAACCATACAAAATAATTCAAATAAGCAAGTCATCAATTAAACTCAGAGATTATGCAGAAATTTACTTTTCATGAACGGCATACCACAAGTCTTCGACTTTTATAGTTGACAGTTAGGTATGAATATAGGTGTAGATCTTACAGTTGAAGACACCTACAAACACTCTTCAAGAGTTCTTGCAAGACTCTCGATTGTAGGGTATCTTTTTCAAGATCGTTTAATTCTACGATAGGCTAACTTCACTTTATTTTTTAATTCTTATCGATAAATAGCCTTTTATCATGCCTACAGCCGCTAGTTACGCATTCGGACACACGATATCAGTACCACATTTCAACTATGCAAAAGTAAAGATGAAAGACAGTCGATTGCCGTGGTATTGTTCGTCGTGTGATCGTCATGAATCGACAGCTAGTCAATGTGATTGAGAATTATGATTGAATTCGATTGACACGCCGACATGACAAATAATGATGCAATATTTGCGTCAAGACGACACAAACTAGAAAGAATAGGACTATTAAAAAGGGACCATCAATAAAGGACATGTAGATAATGGTGGAGGGTTTGGGAGTCGTATCAAAAACTATGAATATTTTCCTGTTTTTTACACAACTTTCGGCAAGATTTGGAATCTTAATTTTGTTTTGAATATCATTTTTAAATAGGAGATAAGCTGAATGAATCATTTGAATATGGATAGGGTGTTGAGATAATTGAAAATTATGCTACATGAGCAGCTAAATACTTTCTCAAGAAATAATATGAACGTTGTTAGATTTCCGAGTATCATCTGTATTGAATTTCATTCTTTGTTTTTCTTTTTTATATTTTAATGTTTTCTGCTCACGAAAATGATATGTATTCAAAAAAAAGAACAAAAAATTTTGCAATAGATTATATCTGTGTTTGTTGTTTATGAGATATACTTTGTATTTTTTATATTGATTTCCATTTTTGATATATTCATTTAATGAGTTATTATTTAACAAAAAGGAAGCCGTATGTTTAAACAACTATAATAAACAACCTGTGCCTGCAGATGCATATTTCGTATCACGATATTTCCTTTTCATAAGACGATTGAGAAAACAATTTATACTTTCATCATTGATGGTGTACAACTTCCGAACTCGATAAGAAACGGCGAACTTTCGTAAATAGAAGACGTTGTAATAACTTTCACTGCAAAATGAACTTAATAAAACATTTCTGATTTGGTTGCATCCTATTCTTTGAAATTAGTTAGTGCACTACCGCCCGAAGTTTTTCTCTCGAGAACCTTCGATATATCAAGAATATATTGTATTGCGGTATGTTCACAAGAATCTTTCTTAGGTATCCTTCGTTTCGAGTCAAGTAATTCTGGACCCTATCTAATGTTGTCATTCGTTCAACCGAACTAAGATCAGTTTACTCTATGTTTCATGTCTTTCGTAGTTTCGCTTGGGTCGAAAAGCAACCATCATGTATTGATTACGTTCGAGAATTCTTCTTCAACATCCCAGCTACATCATCGACTTGCTTATCTTGTCGGAAATAGAGTCATTTTGCTTTACCAAAAGACTGAAGCTTTGTTTTGTACACTGTGATATTAACTGCATTATCTATGATGTTCGCTTTATCGTCATTAGAGATCCATGCCGGGTTGTTTTGCGTCGCGTTTGATATCCGAAGCATTGTAGAAGAGACATTGTACTCTATGTGTCGATCTTTGATACTTTGCAAATTTGTGATCATGATTTCTGTTTGAATTTATATAATAATTCTGTATCGAGGAAATCATCAAATAGTTTCATGGAAATTTTCTTAACTCCTTGGAATTTTACCAATCAGACAATGATCGTAAAGAACTTTTTTCGAAGTTGGAGTTGGAGTCATATCAGTAAGACAGTGAAGTATTTTTGCTCTTACATAGTAACAAGTTTATTCTTCATATATCAAGTAATGAACAACAATACACAAGTTTAGAGATTCGTAAATAAGTTTCAAGAAAAAAAAATCCAAGATACATTCTCATTAACAAAAAAAACACTAAAAATTGTACGATTTTTCTTTGGATTTTGCATTAAAAACAACCAAAATGGTTTACAGTAAATGAGTAATTCATTTTTCTTCTATCATGAGTGTGTTTGAATCACTTCAAATTTTATTATTATAAAAATAAGTTTAAACATTAAAACATTTTCAATTCAACTTTCTCGATTTCAGTTTGATAAAACTAGAAGAATTAAAACGTTGACAATATTTTTTTCATTAATTGAAACTTTCTATAAAAGATACAATAGGATGTGAAATCTGAGACAACATCAATCTTTTAATGTTTGTAGTGGAGGAAAATACCGATTAGCTTGTGATAATAGCATCTTTCTTCCATGTAGTGTCATGAATCACATGTGCCTATGTTTCTAATAAGACAAATGCATGTTTTATTAATCAGATGTGTGAAGAAGCTATTTGAATTTATCGAGTTGAGTTTTATATGATTAATTTTTAATATATGTTAGTGACCAAGCAACTCTGATGTTTGCTTCATTTATTCAAAAGTCATATTAAAAAAGTGCGATCTTTTTCTTTCTTATTTTATTTACATTTACAGGTCGCAAAGGACATTTTCTTTTCACGACTTTTTTCGTAACCTACATTTACAATTAATTCTTCTTTTTTTGTGTTCATTGAAGTAGTATGGGAAGCGTTTGTATTGTTAACCTTCACATCTCGCGTTTTATTTGTTGCAGTTTTGCTTGCAGAACGTGAAGGAAAGAAAAAGAGAATAAATAAATATATCGCACAAAATGTATCAATATTCTGTATCATTATAACCGAACTTTGAAGAAAAAGAATATATCAATATGAATACATTGGCTTATGTCACTTTATACCTGTTGACCCATAAGAAATTTTTTATTTACTTCAGCTATTTGGGTGGTACTCTTGTCTTCGCCGTGCTCAGCTTGAATACAGGTATTTTTCATTGAAGCTATTTAGATTATTTTAATGATAGTTTCACTTTTTCAATTATCTATAATTGAATAGCCATCGTATTACTTCAAGTTTCAACTGTGCCTCGAAAAGTTTTAATAATATCTGTCATCACTCAAATGTCGAATTCATCGATGTCCACTCATCCGCTTCTTTATCAGCAACGTGTTAAGTTGCTTGCAGACAAATGCAATGATAAAGATTTTCATTCTTCAAATCTTCAGTATCTTATTCGTCGCATTGACATGCTCGATTATTTGGGTTTTGTTCTTCGTTCTCATTCTCTCTTCTATTGCTCAGTTCCCAAAGTAGCGACACGAACTTTTCTGACTTTCATCACCTATCTTCATATACGTGATGATCTCACTGCTTGGTACACGACCAATTTAACTAATGAACAACACAATGCACGAATAGCAAAAGATTCAGCTTTATTCAATGCTGACTATTTAAATCAAATGTTGTCGCTCTCAATTACAGTAAGATAACATCAATCGATCTTTCTCTTGTCTTCTCACTATTGTAATTCCAGGACAAAAGTAATGTATACTTGTTGTTTAATTGAGTGTAGAAATAGCGACCAGAACTTATTAATGAAAGTATAATTCATTTAGCTAAATCACTTTTGGCAACATCTCAATTATTTTATCATATTGAAAAGTGAAAATATCCTATCAAAAATTTGTCATCGATATCATGCAAACTTGTGATTTTCAATGATATTATGAGATTCTCTTCTATAATGCTTAATTCCACTTTTTGCTTTTTAATACTAATTTGTTCACTCGTTTTTCTCAGCTTAATTTCAGTTTAGTGAAATATACACAACATGATTTGAAACCAGAAATCTAGATAGATCTTTATTTAAAAACCATAGTTATGTATTCTTTCATTCTTACTTTAGACATTACAGTTTAATACGATAAACTCTGTCATATTGGATACTTAAATAGAAACTATTTCATTGTACTTACTTTGTTATGAATGAAATCGGTTATTTCCAAACATTCTTTCTTTAGAAGTTTTTTGACAGGAGATTACTCAGAAACATGTTCTGATAGAGAAAGGTGAAAATAAGATCTGAACGTTATGGGAGGAGACACAAACAGATGAGCATATATAAATCTTGTTCAACAGATAATCTATGACTATTTATTCTGATTCAATATTGAAAACTATACTTTTTTAGAATGATTCTCAATTATCTATCGCTAATCGTCTTTCAATTCTCTCTTCATTTCAATCACGTTTGAGCAATACATCCAATATCTCTTC